GCGGGGGGGACCGAGTGCCATCACTCTCTGACCTCTGAGCCCCCATCTGTCCACCCCTCAAAGGAAATGTTCAGACTCTGTTCCTCCTGGCCTTTCCCAAGAACTCCCACTTAATTTCTAAAGCAATCTGGAGCAGGGACAGGAACGTGGTCTTTGTTCCCTGACTTCCTCTGTGCCATCTCTTTGTACATCTCCAGGAATTCTTTGGCTAAGGCTTCTAGGGAGAGTTGGCCCGAGCCACACACCCTCGAAGGAAGTGGCTTGGGGCAGTCGGCTGTGCCTCTCTCTGCTCCGAGGGCCAGGGAGGACTGCGAATGGCCAGATAGGCAGAGGACAGCGCTGCTTACCTTTCGATTATGTCCAGACGCAGCTGGTGGCCATAAGGCAAGGTAATGAGTTCCAGCCCTGAGCTCACGCCCATGTTCTTCTTCATCTCTTCCGAGACTTCTAGAATCCTAGCGACCTGTCAAGAACACAGTTGAAATACACGGGATCAGGAAGTGGGCTTGCTGTGAACACGAAGTCAGCATGTGAAAGGAAATACACTGAGCTGGAGCAGGGTGGGTGCACTTAACCTGCTGGGTTCCTTTTGAGCAACGGCCTCTGAAAAGATAGTTCTCATATGTGGTATTTGGAGGATTTTAATACACCTACTGGAATATAAAACCTGGGAGGAAAGTGCCTAAGTTGGTCTGCAGAATCTGCAAATTTGGTGTTTCTGCCCAGCCAGAGAACGGTGCAGTGCCTGGAGGTCTTGTCTGACACAGGCTGGGTCCCGCTGCGATGTTCTGCTGCAGACAGCAGGCTGCACCCGATCCCCTGCAGTGCAAAAGTGGAACTGCGTCCCAGGGCCCCTCTGCTGCGTGCTTGGCCGTTCATGTTCTCACTTAATGGCAGGCTGGCTGCTATTACCCCTAATTACGCCTCCCCAGGGCTCAGTAAATGCATCATACGTCTGGAAGCCATTAGAAACGTGTATAGAGATTTGAAACCCAAGGTCTCAAACACACCCACATCCCCCCCAGAGGGGTTTTCCTTAAAGAAAATCTTTGTTTGTTTGTCGCAGTCAGCTCTCCCATCTCAATTCCAGTGTGTAATCACAGTTTATCAGAACCAGGTATTAGTTGGCCACTTACAGTTATTACATGTTACCTCAAACTGTTACAAAGGAGTCAGCGCCTTTCTAAAACGGGGATAGTGATGCCTCACAATGCACCCAGCGCAAACGACAGTCTCACCAAGCCTGGACATGGCAGGCACGGGACAATTCCCCTCCTCCATCTGTGGCGCTGTCCTTAGTTCTCCTGGGCACATGAACAGTCCAGATGCCTTCATAATAGGCTCCAAA